CCTTTGTGTACACCCTATATATGCATATGTTAAATATATATCTATCATATACATATCACTTCTACATATATATGTCTCTTTATACACATACATATGTTCAACACCTTGCTGTGTTCAAGGCCAGGTTGGACAGAGCCTTGGGTTGCATGGTTTAGTGGGAGGTGTCCCTGCCCATGGCAGGGGGGTTGGAACTGGGTGATCTTAAGGTCCTTTCCAGCCCTAATTATTCCATGATTCTATGTATGTGTATGTATATATGTATGCATACATATGGTGTTTATATATATACATATATATACACACAAACACCAGGGAGTTCCTCTGACAGCATGCAGAAACCTGATGTGGTTAGACAAGTCTCTTCATCTGTCAGCGGAAAGTGGCAGTCCTTCCTTCTGTAAGCCAGAGTCCTTCTGATCACCAGCCTGAGCATTGCCTTCTGTGGGTAGCTGTGGATGCAATGTGAACATGAACTCAGGTTTCCTCTGACCGACGCAACATCCCAGGGCCTGTGTGTTGGGGCAAGTGTGAGGCTGGGGAGAGTGGAGGAGATGCTGCATGGCATACATGTATGCATGGCTTTCTGCTCTGGGAGGGGCACCAAGGCCCGCCATCTCCTGATCAGCCTCTTGTCCCCCATCCTCACAGGAAATTTTGCCCTCAGATCCAATGAATGGATATGGTTCAAGGGGAAGTCATACTTTGCCTATTCTTGAAATGTCTTTTAGAGTAACAGCTGAAGATCTATATTTGTATCAGGGTCTACCAGTACCACAAACTCCATTAGAAAGTTCTTTTGAAGGATTTGTTTTTCCCATGCTGGCTACCTCTCACTGTTAGCTGCCTTGGGTACGCAACTGTTAGCTGCCTTGGGTACGCAACTGTTAGCTGCCTTGGGTACACACAGCACGTTCCTACCACATAGATCATACAAACACATCTGTAGTGGTTCCTACGTGGCAGAGTACTGCAGAGGACACACTTGAGCTGACACTAACTTGAAGATCTCTCCACATCACTCTGGGTTAGATAACAAAACCTGCATCCAGAGAACCCACAGCCTCCAGGGCTCTGGGGATTGAGCTCCTGACCTTCATCAAAATTTGGAGCAGTGCTTATGAGCATCATCGTGCAGATGCTGGGACAAGGTTCTCAGTTGGTTCTGGTCTCACAGCTGGGTGCACTTCTACTAGTTTACATCACTTGAGCTCTTGGTCCTTTTTTATTAGCTGCCTAGAGCTTCACTCTGATGTACAATTAAGTTAATCAGCATTAAGTTAATCAGCACTCACTTTGGGGTGAATGTGTGCTGCTGGAAGGAGTGAAGGTCCCTAGCATTAAAGTAGACAAGAGACCTCAGGCTCAGCACTGAAATCAGCTTTCTCAAAAAAGGTGTGGGCACGTAAGGGAGGCTCTCCTTGTTTCTCGTCTTTTACACAACACAATGCTTATAAAGTGTCCAAGCCTTGGTCTTTGTGTGTGGGTGTAACTGTTCTTCTGTAGGGTTTCCCTCCCAGAACCCAAGTTATTTCAGATTAATCGGGGCATTCACTGGACTCCTCTATTCCACAGGGGTCTGGACACCTTGCTGTGAAGAGACCCAAATTGCAACAGATTGAATGTTCCTCTCCATGTTTAACTGGAGTGTCCTGGAAGTCTTTCCATATACCTTGACATCTGAAATCACATCTAAACCTCTTCACATTTTCTGTACTTGTTCCTGCATCCCAGTGCCATAATGGCTATAGGAACTAGTGGATTCTCTCTGTCTTTCAAATAGAGATGCCTACGTGCAAATTATGCAAATGTATCAAAATAATAAAGCAAATAAGAGGAGACTAGAACCCTGCCTTAGCCAGCAGATCAACAGGTCTCTGTGACGTACGTAGAGGTTGGTAGAAACCTGCATCTCCAGTTCTTTTTAAGTTCCAACCAAGACTGATAAAACACTTGAGGCCCTTGGAATATGAGCCTGCCTTTAAATAAAATCCAGTCTTGCTTCCTAGCATGCTAATTAAAAGTGCATGGCTGATTCAGGCAGCCGTGCAATAGCAAGAGGAGTGCTGCAGGCATAGACATGGCAGGGTTTAGCCTGTTGTTGAGTATACAGTATTAAAAAAAGGCAGATGTCTTATAAAGATGATTACGCCAGCACTGTTGACCTTTCTGCAAGAACAGGAATAAAAGCAGGAGGGGAAACAATAATCAGTTTTGATTTATCTCAAAAGCACTCTTCCTTTTTTAGGCATGAAGCTACTGCTGATGTAGAAAGGTGAGGGAGGTCGCTGTCACCCTTCTATGTCACGTCAGTGCACACTCACCAGCTGCTTGGAGCTGAGCCTGTGAGTGGATTGACACACTCAGACCTCAACCAGAGACACCTCCCCTGGGACTGCACATGGGAGCATGGGTCACTGCCTCCCTTAGATATTTTCCGGCTCAGCCCTGTGTTTGGTTTGTGTTTTGTTTTGCTTTGCTTTGTTGGACTGGTGGATGAGTGAAAGCTGGTGGGAAGGCATGCCCTGATGCAGACTCCCTGGCTCAGCACCGCTGCTGAGGACTACACAGAGGCACCAACTGATCCCAGAGTAGCCCCCATGATGGAGCACTTACTTTCTCCTGACAGACTTGGTGTTACTTTCTAATGGCCCAGCATTCCCATGCAGAGCAATTAGCCTACAACCCATACCACAATGGAAAGTAATAACCCTGACCAAATTAATGTTAGGAGTACTAGATTTCCAAAATCTGAGCTTTAGAAAGTACAGCCATGACTACTAAATATAACCTGAGGGAATATCCAAGGATTCCAGTTCCTGTTTCTATATTCTGTTGCAGGCAGTACAAGTATGTGTGCTTTTATAACATACACAAAGTAATTTAGTGCTTAACCCAGAAAATTAAAATGGCTTTGTGGTTGGTTTTTGGTTTGGGAAGCTCAGGACAATTTTGAGTGTGACCCACTCTGAGATTTGCTAAAAAGAAATCAGAGGTTTCTTTGTAATTTTATGTAATTTTATGAGAACCTCCTTTCTGCTCTATTTTTGTGCCAGGGCATTGAGGGAAACCCTCTGTAGCTGAGCTAATCTTTCCTGGTATGCACATTTCTGTCTGGAGCCATGTGTGTACAGATACCTGCTAACATTAGAACTGGAGCTGTGTCTTTATGCTGAGCCTTCAAAACAAATCTAGTCAAAGAAAGCAACCATGTAAGATTTTTGTGGTGCTGAAATAGCCTGCAGGATGCCTTTGCTCTAAAAGTACATTTTCATTAATTTTTTTTTTATTAAGTTGGATCCAGCCACCTGCTGTAGGTCTGAAATGGGTCTGTTTATTCATTGTATTTATTTAGGCCTGGTGCTTTTGGGAATAGCGGAAGGTGCTGGCCCTCTAAGAGTAAACCTAACCAACTGTCGTACTTCATACATTTTAAGGCCAGGAGAAAGAAGACATGGTGCTCGTGCAGACCTTCCAAAGACAGAGAATTTTCTGACTTACATAATTCTTACTCTGTCTCCAATCTCTTTAGCTGAATTTAGACTTACTTATTTTAGGAAAAATGAACAGTCTAGCTTAAACTATTTTTTTTTTCAGTTAAATACCAGAGCTGATACACTACTGTAATGGATAGTTACCCTTAATGATAATAATTACCTGTTTCTAATCTATTCACCTTTCCTGAGTCATTTACAAACTCTACTAGTACCCAACACCCTATTTTGGGGGGAGGAAGTCACTCTTAAAAAAACCACATTGTCTCAGCAATGACTTCCCATTTATAGGAGTTTGAGACATACCAGTTGTCAGACTTTAACTCAGTTTATGTGTGCTACACCGTATAGCTCTATAGTTTCATAAATCCAACATCACGTGGAATTAAGTTGAATATCATACCAAAGACTGAAGTTATCACACCAGCACCAGTACATCTATTTAGCAAACCAGTAATCTCCTCAGAAAATAGCTACTTAGTTTGACAAGATGTTTTTTCCTAAACCTATGCTGCTTAGCATCAACTATTTATTACAATATTTTATTAATTGAGACATATTTTAACTTGTGCAGCTGTTTGTGATGTGTATAACTAGAAGTTCAGAATATAGGATATATTTTGCTATATTTAATTCTCTCCTCTGCTTAACTGAACATGTAGATTTAGACATTTCCATTGAATGATTCATTATGCAACTTCATTTAAGGTGACCCAAATTCTCCTAGAGTTTATGTGATTGCACACACTGCAGTAGGGGTCTCTTCTGCCTCTGCAAAACACTGATACTGCTCATGGCATTGTCTGTTGCTCACCATCCTTTAGGAAATGTGTCCCCCTCAAAGCACAGGAGAAGGAATACAGCCCTGAAGGAAAATATTTTAACCAAGTGCCGCCGGTATTCCTTCCAATGCAAAATATCGTTTGTATGAGTGGTACTTACATAGACATTTCCTACATATTAGACATACCATTCAAAGACAATGTAATGAGCAAGAAGCTTGTCAACTATAGTCCTCTAAAGCAATTAATAAATGTAATAAAATTCCTGTTCTTTTAAAACAGATCCCCCTTCCTCGCTCCAAGGTTACAATGATAGCAGCTGCAATACTGATGGGTAGGCACTGCTGTGGCTCCCGGTAAAGCTCCCCTAATGGGGTTTGAAAGCCTGCCCTTATCAGCATAACACGCTTCTCTAAAACTAAATCCAATGCAGCAAGAGATACCTAATGCAGAGGGAGAAGATATTTTCTATGTGTAGCAGAGCTGAGCACCAGGTTGTGGACAACACTGACACAGAGAATTTGGTCATCTGAGGGCCATGACAACTAGAACCAACCAGAGGAGTTGATTGCTTAGGAAAAAATTTGCATCTTAAAGGTGAAATATTTGCATGTCTGTATCTGTCTGTGGCTCTGACTTAGTGCTATTGCATGGGTGACTGAAGCGTATCTGATTATACACTATTCATTTGGGAGAACTCATGTATTTTTCCACACTCTTTTTACAGCTCCCAAATCTACCTTTTGTCCCACTGAAGAAACCTGGTGGCCAGGCCTGGTTATTATCATTGCAGTATGCTGCGCCACGCTAGTGTTCCTCTTTGTAGTTGTCATCATTTGCTACAAAGCCATAAAAAGGTAAGACTCCAGATGCTTTTACTGTGCTTAGGGCAATGCAACCCCACAAAGCTTGATCCAAGGCTTGGCTGACACCTTGTTTTGTTTAAAGACATCCTAAAGGCAAAATGCATCCTGTAGTCAATGTGTGTTTTCATTGTAAAGTCACTTTATGTACCATATCCTGCCTGTTTAAATGGTGAAGTTCAATGCACAGTCATGTCTATGAGGAGGAGAAAAACTAGAAATGCGATACAGCCACAATGTTCAGATTAATAATAATTTCCCCAAAGCCAAATTGCTGAAGGTTGCTGCAGAATGTCAATAGCTTTGGCTTGGCCAAGTGTAGAGGTAGAAAACACTGTCTTACCACTTCTGGAAGTATTCAGAATTTACATGTGAGGTTTTTGGCTCAGGCCCATCACTGATTGTAGTATTTCAAATTGATGCAAGTTCTTTTAACTCAAACTCTAGGGTAATTTATATTGGTTTTCATTTGGAGGCTCTACTTCCAATTTCTTCTTGCTTCTGAATTCTCATCTAGAGAATCAAATGCAAAAGCTGTCTCTTTTAGTGTAAAAGCCAGTGTAAAGCCTATGTACAGCATGGTGCTGTAGTAAGCATTTCAGCTCACTGTCGTTGTAATAGATGAGCTTGCATAGGCCTCCAGCAGTTAGAAAGTATTGTCTTCAGTTACATAGAAAAATGGGAGTGGGAATAATTTCTTCATCTGATAATATTTCGTATTTCTGGTGGAAGAAGTCAAAACTTTTAACATTTCTGTATGAATACTCCAACTGCAAGTCCAAAGTGTCAGTTTAGAGAAGAAAGTAACTTGGGAATTGTATCCTGGATGGAGGGAGTTTCTTTCCTCCTCTATTGGTTTCAGTGTGGCTCTGACAACACCTTACAGTCATGGCTTCATGGTGTCACTGTTTCATACAGTAGGTGTATTGCACAGGAGCTGCTAGTACAGCCGGGTGACCCAGCTGCAGTAGAGAATGCAGCATGCAATCCATAACTCTCCTGAGATACTGCAGTGACAAATGAATTGCAGCTTGGACTAAAGTTTTTTTTTTTAACTTTGTGATTTTTGAGTGATACTAAAAAAAAAAAAAAGGAAAAGAAATGAAAAAATGAAAATACCTTTCATGGAAAATATTATCTGCATGAAAAAAACTGCAAGATTTTTGGTGAGCCTCAATGGGGATATCACAGTGATGGAGCATTGCACATGCTTTGTAGTTGTCTGAAAAATTTATGCAGGATTTGGAGGATAATGTATCCAAGAGCATAAAAAAGGAAAACTTCAAATGAGAAGACAGAAGTCTGTATTTGATTTCTTGTTAAATTTACATAAGTATCTTTGCTGTTCTAGTTTAGCTAAAATGAATGCTTATTAGTTTTAAGGATTTGGAAAGCTTTCAATCTGCTGACAGGACTTGTAAAAAATCATTTATGGAGGACTGCAGTTGGAGTCCAATTAGATTGGTATCACACTGCAAAGTCTCTTACTTGTAGTTCCTACATTGTACATCCTACCATTGGCTGCTCATAAGGGATTGGTCCAGTTCCATGTGTAATTCTATTAGTTTCTATTAGTTTCAAAACCAGTTATTGCACTTACCTTCCTACTGCCAAATTGTGAATGATTTCTGCCAAGGCTGCAAAATATACCTATGGGAGCAGAAATTCTTCAGGGCAGTTTGTGCCTAGTGAGGAATTGCTTGTCAAATCTGGTGCTGGTATATGGGAGGAATTGAAAAGAAATATAAACAGCAAGTTTAGAGCTGCCTTGAAAAGGCTTTGGGAGTTCACATAACAGTCTTATGCTTTGTGTTGGTGAAGAATAATACTGATACTTGATGAAGATACCCATTGTTTGTCAACAGTCTGAATATCAGCATACAAATCAGCTGCTTAAACAGGCATTAGGTATACAGAAGAGTGAAAATTCCTCAGATATGCTTATTGTTGACATTCACACTGCTGACAAATGCTAAGCTAAAAGCTGCTCAGACATGGGATGGACAGCTATAAAAGAAAATCTTATTAATTATATTTTTACAGGGCAGCTAGAGCATTCCTTTTCATCAATGAGTCCTTCCTGAAACAGCTCTGCTAAAAGGATGCCCTGAAGTTCCTAGCAGCATTCCCCAGTAGTTCAGGGTCCTTGATCTACTGTAAAAGATATCTTTTGATAAATGCTAGGAAATAAGGTAAGATGCTTCACAAGAGAAGCATCTCTGCCTTCAACGCAGAGTATTGTTACATATTGTTGAGCTGAATTGGCTTAAGCTAGTGTGAGAAGTGCTTCACTCTGCTTATTTACTGGGAGGCAGTGGCGGCTAGAGAAAGAGTAAGGGGGTTAATTTGGGTGATGCTGAAGCCAGGGGTCCCTCCAGTGTATTCCCAGCCTCTGGTTCCATGCTCTGCCCTGTCCTTTTCCACACCCGTATTCCCACCAGCTGGCCTCTTCAGTCATCCTCTCAGCCCTTGTTCCTGTGCATCTCCTGGAAGTGGCACCTCTGTCATTGCAGCATCTCTGACGGATCTGTCTTCTCCCCCCACTGAAGAGATGCTGAAGACTGAAGTAACTGCAGTCACCTGGTTGTAGGGTGTAGCAAGAGTTAAACGTTTTAGTAGGAAAATACAGGCAGAGATTTATTTGCACAGAGCTTGGATCTGTTGTATTAATCCCTCACTTTCATAAGAATCAAATTTGAAGTAGAAAGAAAAAGAAAAATCCTATTGTGCTCAAGTTAAAATCTCATTTACTGGTTTCAAAGGGCAAGACCCAATCAAACTCTCTCATGTCTGCTTCTCTGTAGCTGGAAGAGAGGGAGTGACTGGCCTTGAAGTATCGTAACTCCACTGTATTTTTATTCAGTCTGTATAAAAAATGTTTCTTGTGGGTTGTTTGTTTTCTCTCGTAAAAACTAAAACTTCAGCAGATCTCTGATTTTAGGCAGATCAGTGCTTCTTTGTATAAAATAACTACCAGAGCTAAGCAAGCACACTGCTACCTCTATCTCTGCATCTCCCCTGGAAATACTGATGTTCTCCCAATAGTAAGTGGTTGTAAGAAATGCTGAATTCCATTCCAGTGGATGGACTTGACCTCTCTGATCCCTGAGGGAACTAATACCATAATGTGCCAATCATCTTTAATCCTCAGGGAACTACTAGACAGGTTAAACTATTGGGAAGATACATATGGGGTGATTCTTCAAAGGCTTTTAAAGCAGTCTCTAAATTTCCTGTGTGTGATGCTAGCATCTGCAGTGTTGGACACTGTATGACTGGCATTCCAGGTACAGGTGTGCTGCTGCATAGATCAAGCACCAGAAGAGATAGGATGTGATGCTGTGTTGTGCTGCAGCATGGTTACACACATCATGATAGCATCCTTAGTCTGGCAGTGGAGAAACAGCTATTTTCTCTGGTCTTGGTGACAGAGAAGTATTTCCTTTTTTAAAAAATGTAAATTTTCTCCTAAGAAACTTTTCCATGGCACATTAGAAAAAAAATTAAGGGTTGGCACTTAGCATAGGCAGTAATTGCAGTCTGACATCTGTAGATTTCTAGAACAGCCTTAATCACTGGCTAAGGCTGAGATCTGCTGTAAGCAGAGGAACTTTTGTGCTCATTTCATGGTTAAGGAAAGTGATCTCACAACCAGTGATTTCAGTAATACATAGGAGGAGCAGATGAAAAACAGCTTCAAAATCTGGAATACCTCCAGGTAGTTCTCTTCCATGTCTGTGTAAAATCCTGCCATTCTTTCTCTTTCCCTGGAAGACTGTCACCAAAAAGTAAAAGCAGGATGTCCAAGGACAGTTCATAAACTAACACAGGAGAAAGCTGGATCATTTCAGTATTACATGGTTTGTGGACTTGGGCAAGTGCACCGTGAATGCCAGCAGCTTTAACAAATACTCATCTGGTATAAATCAGTGTGGACTCAAAAACAGTCAGTGGAGATCAGTTTCTTTAATCAGCTCTGGGATGGCTGTTTTTTAAGGGATTTTTTTAACATCTCCAAGTACCTGAAGAATAATAATAGTAATAGTAATGAGTAAGACAGTAAGGCTGGAGGGGAGTGGGAAGTAAACACAGTAAAGAGGATTAACAAGAGTTGTTTGGTAAATAAGCAACTGACATTGGGGGTAGAGGGACCTGAAGTGTATAATCCTATTTCTGCAGCTCATGGTTAGTTAGTGTCTATGTGGGGAATAAGATAGTTACATAAAAGAGAAAAATAAATCCCTGGCTCCCTGTATAAATTAAGATACTAGAGCCATCTCTGAAACCTCTAAGGGGAAAGCAAAACTGACCCTCCTGGTCTCCATGCCAGCTGATGCTCCAGCTATGCAACACGGCAAGACGTGTTTCTGATGGTTTTCCAGCATGTGGAAAACATGTATTTAATATTTTCAGAACATCCACACAGTCTGAGATGACTCATGAGCAGCCCATTGTGCCTAAGGATGTGACTCCTTGGCTCTGATGGAATTTAGGTAGGATGTATTCCTCTGCTCTCAGATGTACCACAGGGTTTGCTGACAGTCCTCTTGCTAAGTCAGCAGAAAAAACAGGCTGATAGAAGCAAAGTTTTACATGTATAGCTTTTACTCACTATTGTTTGTCAAGCCACTGTTTTGTATGTGTTCCAGAGCCTGAGAGAACAGTACCATAAATGTCTACAAATGAATTTCCTTGAATAGGCACTGAGTTCACCTTCAGATAGTAATTAAATGGAAGAAAACATTGTGCTGAAATAAAATAACAAGTCATATTTGAACTGTCTTAAAATTCATTGCTCAGGTATTTTCTAGGGTACTTTGCATTAGTGTATGATTTATGGACACTGTATACTGCAAGGTCTAGTTTCAGTAGCAGGAACAAAGTTTTGAAAGTTGGTTTTGTTTAACAAAATGAGGCAGATGCTTGCAAGGGGAAAACACTGAGGCTTTCTTAAGGAGGGCAGTAAGTGGGAGTGAGGCTGTGGTGAGCGGACA